CCCCCCTGCCACACTGTGGAGCTGGAGCACTCCAAATCTACTAGGTTGGGTCCCCGTAGTCTCTGGTGTGCAAGGGGAATGTGGGGAGCAGTGTTCCCTCTAACCTGCCTAGCAGCACAGCTTCACAGGTGATTAATCAGCCCTGCCCATTCAGAGGCTCAGGGCTCCATGCCTGGAGCTGAGATGACTAGGTGGGGCTGATTAATCACTTGTGAAGTTGTGCTGCCACACAGCTTATAGCAGTGGTTCTCCAGTGTTCCCTCTAACCTGCCTAGCAGCACAGCTTCACAGGTGATTAATCAGCCCTGCCCATTCAGAGGCTCAGGGCTCCATGCCTGGAGCTGAGATGACTAGGTGGGGCTGAGTAATCACTTGTGAAGTTGTGCTGCCACACTGCTTATAGCAGTGGTTCCCAAAGTGCAGTCCAGCAGGAGCTCCCCTCCCCGCCTCCCTCCTCCCCCGCCCCCCCATGCAGCAGGGAACCCATGCTGCTGCTGCAGTCTCATGGTAGGCATGCCACCGTGGGGCTGCAGCATCAGCTCCGGCCAGGAGGGGAGGTGAAGAAAGCAAACTCCAGCCCAGCCCGCATAGAGCACACAGCTACACATGGAGGAGCGCCACTGCCATGGTAAGAGCAGCACATCCCTCAGCTGGTCCTGCAGGACAGGTAACAGATTGGGCTGCACGGGGTTTGGCCAGGCAGACTCCCACGGTGTGCAAGCAGCCAGCACCCACGCTCCCCTTCCTAGGCAGCAGGTTGGGCTGTGCAGGGCTCGGTGGTGGTGGGAGGCAAAGCAGCTGGGACTGAGGATCCTGCACACACAGGAGGCAGGTGAGGGCTTGGGGCCCTTTTGGGCTTTGCACCCATGGGGACTTGCTCTGGGATGCCATGAACTGGACCCCTGCGGGACCCCACCCCCTGCAGGCCTGGACACCTCGGGGACACCTACCTGCCCACCCCTGCTTTGCTGTGCCCAGCCTCCTTGCCCCTCCATTTCCCTTGACACCCCCGAGCCACCTTGACCTCCCCAAACACCCTCCTGAGCCACCTTTACCCCAGCCCTCTTCCCAGGGGCACCTGGGCCGCCCCCATCTCCCTGGACCCCCTCAGCCACTCTGCTCCTCAGGTTTAGCCCCAGGCACTTCCTGCCCCCATCTCTCTGTCCAACCAGACATCCTACCCCCCAGTCCACTTCTGCACCCTCCCTCCCAGCCAGACTCTGCACACTCTCTCCTGGCCAGACACCCTACTCCTAGCCTGCTTCTGCACCCCACCTCGCTCCCAGATCCTGCACCCCATCCATATCCCATTTGCTGGCCGCTCTGTCCCACACACTGAACCCCTCATTTTTATCCCCACCCTATAGCCTGAGGGGATCCATAAAAATCTACTAATTCCAGAACCCCAGTAAAGTAAATCTGGCCTATGGAATGCCAAAGGAGTGTGGTGTCTGAGTTGGGGGCCACATCAGTGAGAATTATGGGTTCTGGAGGAGTTTTTGATTCTCACTTGCGCAGTCCTCAACTGATTTTTCTGTGGGTCAGTGGCCCCTGACACAAAAGGTTCCCTACCCCACCATGAATAAAGAAAACATTGAAATCTTTTGTGTCAGCCATAAATTAATATTTTACTTTATTTAAAATGAAGTTTGGAAAACTAACATGAGAAAGGTAAAGTGCTTAATCTATTTAATCATTTAAATTAAACCAGTCTCCCTAACTGCAGCACTAGCAAAATGGCCTGTGCATACTTCTGTAATTAACAGTGAGTTTCCATTAGCAACTGATGGTCCATGGAAAGGTTGACATTGAGCCATGGGCCAAAAAGTTTGAGAGCCACCAGCTTAGAGGGAACACTGGCGGGGACCGTCCTTCTCCTTCTCAGTCAGTGTGGGGTTGTTTGTTTTTTTACTTGTATGTGGCCCTCACAACTGATTTTTTGGGTCAGCTCCCTCCCACCCGCCCAAAAAAGGCTCCCCACCCCTGGGTTAGGGTGTACAGTTACTATAGATGCTTGTAGAAGCATTTGATTTTTGTTTAAGGTAAAATTTACCAATTTCCACCATGCCGTTGTTTCTCCCCTTCTGTAACATTTTCCCTCAACAGTTTTCTTATTTCCAAAAACAAATTTCCTTGTACACCTTCCTGTATTATTGAATGACCAATTGCTGACTTATTTTCTAAGCCTGTGTACAGGCCAATGCTAGGGACATATTTACTTGTATAGATCCCATAGTTCCTGCTAACAGTAACACACCCTTTTCCCTCTGCTGTTGCCATACTGGCAATATTCCCATTCTTGATTTTGATAAGGATGCACTGACAGGCTTTCCCAACTCTTGTATTTCAGCTGTAACAATTTAGTACGTTTGTTTGTCAATACCTCTATGTTAGTGGCATCCAGTACTCCAACTCCTAATCCAGTTCCACCCAAAGCAGTTTACAATACACTCTTTGGGTTTCTTTTTCTTATGGGGTTGTCAATATACCATAATTTTATCTATGCTGCCCATCCCTTATGGAATGTTTGTACATATGGGGCGCATTGAGGTATGACCTTGGACACATTTAACCCAGTAAGATCCAGTGGGGGGAGCATGCAAAGTCTCTTGACCCCTGCCTCCACCCTGCTAGGGGCATACAGTAGCTAGATAGAAACGCCAGCTGTTTAAGAACCGGCATTTCTCTTTAGCCGCTGTGCACCCTTGGCAGGGGGAGAAGACTTCATCCGTTCCCTCGTCCTCAGGTCTTGATTGGCCTGGGAACAGGGGAGCAGCAGGATGGCCATGGGCCAGGTCCACCAGTGTGGTGGGCCAGATCCAGCCGGTGGAGGCTCCTTTGCCCACCCCTGGGCTGGACCCTTCGGACTCAGATAGATAGCTACTTCAAATGACTCATCAAGCTCAGAACATTCAGACATGGGGATAAACGTGTAGTTGACTACACAATTTACCGATCAGCCTGGGCTTATCAGTTAATCTTGTTGACTACATGCATCTCGCACCCTTTTGCTGCCTCTTTATTAGAGGCAGCAAGGAGGGGAGCAGGAGCCAGTGCCCATGAGAAGCTAGCTTTAAGCAGGGACCCCCGAGCACCAGGTCTGCCTGTCCCTCCACATCTGTGCTACTGCCTCCGATAGAGAGGCAGTAGTGTGGAGGGTAAGAGAGGCAGGCTGGAACTGATACACATGGGAACCCAGCTTTCAAGCAGGTTCCCCTCACATGCTGGCTCTGCAGACCCGCCTACCCCTTCCCCCGCCTCCTACAGAGGCAGTGAAGAGGGGGAGGCAGGAGCCAGTGCTGGGAGAAGCCATCTTAAAAGCTGGTTTCCCCCAGCATCAGCTCCATCATGCTGCCAGCCCTTCCCCATGCTGCATGGAGTTTAGCAGAATACAATCAGAGTTTAGCTGGAAATTGAAGCTAGACAAATCCATAGTGGAAATTAGGGATAGTAAAATGTGTGTATTCAAGGAAACACGTAACTGCTGAACATTTCAGTGGTTACATGGTTGCACACAGGGGAGAGACTGCTCCCCAGAAGTCAGTGCACATGGGGAGCCAGTTTTTAAGATGGCTCCCCGCCAGTACTAGCTTCCACATACCTCCCACCCCACACTGTATCAGAGGCAGGAGTGTGTGTGGGGGGGGGAACAGGTGGCTCCCCAGGAGCTGGTGGAGCTGTGAACAGTTCCTGCCTGCCCTCACTGCACCACTGCTTCTGATACCAAGACAGCAGCGTGGGTGGGAAGAGGGCTGCATGTAACCATGCATGTTAACCAATGAGTCCAGGCTCATTGATTAACCATGTACACGGTTAGGCTTTTACATCCCTACTGGAAATAAAATATACATTTTTAACAGTGAGAGTAATTAACCACTGTAACAATTTACCATTGTAGTGGATTCTCCATCAGTGACAAAGTTTTAAATCAAGATTGGATGTTTTCTCTAAAAGACATCCTTTAGGAATTATTGCAGGGAAGTTCTATGGCCTGGGTTGTACAAGGTATAGGACTGAATAATCACAATAGTCCCTTTGAGCCATGGACTCTATGAATCAGTATAGAGTTTAATTTCCAAATCACAATGATTTACTGGTCTCAATAGCTTTCAGTTTGAGATTCAAAGGGATAATTTCGACCAGTCTTTTTGTTAGCAACTTGACAATTTCTATATGGTATGCTTATTTATATACAAAACTGGTTAGCAATATCCATCTAAATAAATCTACCTACATTTTAAAGGGAAATTTAGTCTTCCCATATGTCTCCTCAATATTTCACAAACATTGCACTAAATGTTAACTAAATTTACATCGACCCAGAGAATCATATTCATCCAAAATACCAGTGATCTGATATTCACATTTTGTCTTCATTATTCATACAAGGAAATCTCATAATTTCTATAGTACCTTTTACCTTCTTATATACAGGAAATCCTACTTCTGCTTCATAAGAGCTGGAGAAATAGTTCAGCAAAAGGGTTTTTTTCCCCTAGTATCCTTGGCTTATGTCTATTCCCCACAAAAAGATTCTTCTCTGGGATCAATGGGCTCTCAGGTTTGCTAGAGCAAAAATGTTTGTAACTCAAGTAAAACTTCATTAAGTCTACACTGCAACACCTGATCCCGCATCGTAACAGCAAGCCTGTTATTTCAAGCTCACTATTCCAACATCCCTGTAAGCCTCATTCCACGAGGAGTAAGGGATGTTTTGGAATAGAGGGTCATTTCAAAATTTGGTGCTGTGTAGACAGCACCAAATTATGAAAAAAGCTATTTCGAAATAAGATGCTCAATTTGTGTGTCATAAAATGACACACACTTATTTCAAGCTGTAGATGCACCCTATAAAATTGTACTTTTATAATGGTCACAGTTATATGGGAATCTGATTTTTTTTTTTACTCATTACAAATTAATGTTTTTTATAGAGAGAGAGAGAGAGGGAGAGAGATCTTTATAATTCTGTGCCCCCTGAAAACTTTAACAAATCCACTTGAAACTTTGTATTTACACCGTAGTTTTGTTTTGGTTTTTTTAATGTAGTTACATTAGTGGGGAGCGGGTGGAACCTACTGGACTGCTGGTCCCTGGAGCAGCTGATGTTTTCTGGTGGAGGAGTGCAAACTTTGCAGGCTCCCCCGGCCAGCCTGCCTCCACTCTGACTGGGAGAGAACACTTAAAGCGCTGAAAGGTAAATAGGTTTCCATCTCCTCTAAGACCTTGGTCTTTCTTCTGAGTCTGCAACCCAGTAACGCCAACCTGCGCTGACCTGAGCTGGACTAGAGCGAGCAGCCGAGAGAGGGGTGAGGGTTTCCTGCCGTGGAAGCCGCGCACTTCTCCAGAAATTGCCGTACCCTCAAAAGTCCAGCCCTGCACAAGGGATTCCCACACGAGCTCTGAGGGGCAAGGGGGATACTCACTGCAGCGTCGGTGAGAAAAGCGAGCTCGGGGCACTGCTTTCGGGTTCTCCTCGGTGCCCGCAGCCGGCAACAGCTCCGCTCTCGACGCGGGTTTCCCCTGCTCTGCCGGCGCTGCGCTCTCCCCGCGCGGCCTCAGAGGGCAGCATTCCCCGCAGCCTCTCGTTCGGTTTTGATTTCCCGCTGTACACGCTGGGAGGATAGAGCCCCTCCCTTCGCCACCCGGCCGCTCAAACAAGGTGCCGGGAGCCAGGGCTGGCCTCTAGAGGAGCAATGGCCCCGCTCTCACCGCCGCACTCCCTTGCGTAGGAATCCCACCACAGGCGTGGCGCGAAGAAGGAAAGGGGCACAGAAAAGGAGACTTTTCAACTACTCTTGGGGCACTGGCATAGGAGTCATTGATCACCGAAAATGCTTTGAAATGCAGTCAGAGTTTTAAAAAAAAAAACCACCACGCTATCGGAGTGACCCACCCATAACCTGGAGTAAAATACAGGACTATGTAGCACTTTAAAGACTAACAAGATGGTTTATTAGATGATGAGCTTTCTTGGGCCAGACCCACTTCCTCAGATCAAATAGTGGAAGAAAATTGTCACAACCATATATACCAAAGGATACATATATATATGGTTGAGACAATTTTCTTCCACTATTTGATCTGAGGAAGTGGGTCTGGCCCAAGAAAGCTCATCATCTAATAAACCATCTTGTTAGTCTTTAAAGTGCTACATAGTCCTGCATTTTGTTTCAGCTACACCAGAATAACACGGCTACATTTCTATAACCTGGAGTGACAGGGTTATGACATTTCATCCTCTCAGGCAACGCTATGTGAAGGGGACGGGATACCATTTGAGGTGGCTGGGAGAGGAATCATTTTGGATGGCAAGGTATCCGTTTTAAAGGTGGCAGTTTCAAGAAAGGTAGGGCTGAAAGTTATATGTTCCAGAAAAATGGATTACTGGGTGGAGGATGTTGTCAAAGTATATGATAAGTTTCCCTGACCTTTTCTGTCAGAAAAGGTGCTTACTTAGCAAAGGGATGATCACTGTACTGCTCAGAGGAGATCATTTCAGTCTCCTCTGCCCACTATTTTGAGGGGTGGGAGTGTCTCCATCCGCTGATGTTTATGTCTGAATTCTTCAAACTGACTTCTGCTTTTAAGACATGCTTTCTTCATCAGCTTTGTTTGGCACACTAGCCATGAGCCACATGTGGCTATTTTCCCAGTTGAGGGTGGCTAGTTGGCTTGAACAATATGGCTATTTGGCCAGGTGAGTGTGGCTAGATCGCTATAGCAGTAGCCACTCTGGCCTATACACAGGAATTTCTGGGGCGGGGAGTGGTGGGCTTTTATTGTAAATGTAGACTGCAGGTTTTTTTAAATATAAAGGAGTTCAAAATAATCATTAAATGAGGGTGCATAAGAGAGGTTAATGAAAAATTTGAGTGGAAACACTGGTAAAAATGATCTTATTACATACTAAAAAATTATACAGTTATAAAGGTTTTATAAATTACAAATCATTATCATTATAATTTATTATTTCGGCCAAAACATTTGATTGTGAGAAGCGATCGATTATAAATCGACATTTTAACACGTGAGGGGACTGTGAAGGAAGCGTTGTGATTGTAACCCACTGCCCAGCTGGGAGGGGAGCATTATCAATCACACACCTCTAGTGGAGGTGGGAAGACAACCAGAAAAGGATATGCATGCTTCTTTTTCTTTAGCCTCCATCTCCTACCTCAGTCTCTGAATTTTTTCAGTGAGGACCACATGTGCAGAACCAAAGCAAATAAAATTGCCTGAGAATTTAAAAAGTATTTGAAGCAGACAAGCCACCAAGCCAGGGATGAGGTCAGACCTGAGAGGCTGTGGACCACATGACACTCCCTCACCCACAGCCCAAGGAAAGACCAGGCCAACCTGCCTCCATCTCAGGCCCTGTCTCTCCCTGCCTTTGCTCCACCTGACTCCACCCTTACTCTGCCCTCTTCCCTGTCTTTGCTCTGCCCCCATACTGCCTCTTCCCTTCCCCTGAGTGATGTGGCCTGGAGGACTAGCAGGGTCGGGAATCCAGCCCCCTGTATTCACCAGCAGCAGTGGGAAAAGCAGAGCAAAGTGGCCTCAGCTCGCTGTGCCCCCCGGCTTCATTGCTCCACTTCCTGATGGTGAGGGTATGGGCAACACAGCTGGAAGAGTGAAGCAAGCTGGGGCCACATTGCTTTGCTTTCCCTGCCACTGCTGGTGAGTGTTGGGAGGCTGGACCTCCACTGCAGGTTCCAGGCCCCTCACTAGTCCCCCTGGATGCCAGGGACTCTGGCCCCACCCAGCCCTTTGCCCTTCTCACCTACTGTGTTTGAGGCATGCGTCCCCTCGTGCCCCCCTATGCATTGTCCCTGCATCACACTGACTATTGTAAGAACTCAAAGCTTAAGTCACACTGTCTAGTTCAAGTTCAGCTATAGAAACCCTGGTTCAGGTTGACGACTTTGGCAGGAGGTTTCTGTGATTTACTATGGCATAATCCAAACTAATCATCAACTTTGTTACCCCTCCCCTACAGCCTTGGATGCCTTACAATGCTTTGCTGAAGGAGCTCCTCTCTGGGCTGCTCACAAACAGCCTTCCAGCACTCAAGCCAAATCTTGATTGTGTAACTGCAGCCTGCCAACCACAATTTGGTTACACCCTGGGTTTCATCAGCCGTGGTTATACAGCAGTGTAACCCCAACACAATCCCAGTCCCTGATTTCCCCCCTAGAAATGCATGTCCTGTACTTTCCATCCTCTCCTGGCAGTGCAAAATATTTTGTTTGTTATTCCTTGAAGGGAATAATATGCCATTTTATTATCTCAAATAGTTATTCAGAAGACACTTAAATTTGAACACAGATTAAATAAAACAACTTTAACTATAAAGAGAATTTTATGTGAGTAAAAGAAATGATCCATAAAAGTAAAAAATGGTTACAAGAAAAATAAAATGTTTACTAATACCTAACTTAAATAGACATGCATCTGATGAAGTGGGTCTTTGCCCACAAAAGCTTATGCTCCAATAAATCTGTTAGTCTATACGGTGCCACAGGATTTCTCATCATTTTAACTTAAACTATATGGCTGTGTCTACATTGGCAGGATTTTGCGCCAAAGCAGCCGCTTTTGTTACAGTGGCAGGGAGTTCTTGCACAAGAACACTGACGTTCTAATGTGTGAAATCAGTGCTTCTTGCGCAAGAACTATGATGCTTCTGCTCAGGAATAAGCCCTCTTCCACAACTGTTCTTGCGCAAGAGGCCAGTGTAGACAGGCAACATGAAGTTCTTGCACAAGAAAGCCCAATGGCTAAAATGGCCATTGGAGCTTTCTTGCGCAAGAGAGTGTCTACACTAGCACAGATGCTCTTGCACAAAAGCACATCTCTTGCGCAAAGGCACATGCCAGTGTAGGCGCTCTGTTGCACAAATACTTTAACGCAAGAACTCTTGCGTTAAAGAGTATTTGCGCAAGATTATGCCAATGTAGACATAGCCTATGAGATTCAGGCAAAGTTTCTCATCAAATGCTTTCAGCAGTCTTATTGACCAAACCCTGTAACTCAGGAATCCCTTCCCCAAAGTCCAGTGCAAGATTTCCTTGTGTTTCAGGTGCAAAGAATGTGATGGGCAGAGAGAGGGACAGAGGGGGTTGTCTTGTGGTGTTTGTCTCTCCTTTTTATAGCTTATCCCTCTCTTGAAAAATCATTTCTTACTGGACTTTAAAAGTCAACGAGTCTAAGTATTTTCCTGCTGGTTTTATCTAACCTATTTGAGGTTTGTTTGTTTCCTTTACTACCTAATAACTTTGTGTACTTCTTAAATGCAAATTAAGCAGAGCACACATTCCTTTGTTTAGGACAGGCCTTTTTGCCATCTTCTATTTTATTTGGACAGGCTGGTGGGGTTTGGAAGTGTGTTAACACCATAATGAGGCCATCTTATAATATCATATGAGAGAATTGGATTTTTTGCTTGTTTTGTACTTTGGGGAAAATAATCTTAAATTGCTTTCATTAAACATGTACAGAAGATATACTTGATGTATATATTAATTACAAATAATGGGCAATGAGGTTTTCCTTTAATTAGGGAACCTCTTGTTATATCCTAGAGGTAGGAAAATGAACGGTCTAGTAGTAGATTATGCAGAGCACATATGTAAGAAGAGACGCAGATTTCTTTCCTGGGAAAAATTTCCTTAGTGGCATTGGCCAAGTAAGTTATGAACAATTTCCAATGCTAGTATATGTGCAAATCCTCCAGGTACTTCAGTGAAGGCATAGGAAGGAAGGAGGTATCTATGGGATTTTCAAAGGCAACACTGCAGTTCTCCATTGCTGCCATCACTTTTGCTGCCTCCATCAAAGTGAGCCAGCTCTACCCCCTCTGACAGAGCTGTATAGAATCCTTCTCCTGTTGCAAAATTCTGTTAGCAGGGTTTCAGTTGCCTAGCAGCCAACTCCCTTCAGTGGACGCAGCAGCAGTGATAATGGAGAACCTCCTGGAGCTTCCAGTTTAAACTGGCTTCAAACTAGGTTTGATGGGAGCGGGTGACCAAAGCCCACAGGTATGTGAAAAACATGGAGATCTGGGAGATGGGAGGGAGCATGGGTTATAATATGTGACAAAGCTCCTACGAAAACTCAGTGGGTCCTGCACTTTCTGGTGGATTTTGCTTGCCTCAAAGGGTACGTCGATGGAGCCATGTAGATTTGTTTGTTTGGCAAAGGGAAATGAAGCTGCGATTTAAATAATCGCGGCTTCATTTAAAATTTACATGGCTGCCGCGCTGAGCTGACAAACAGCTGATCAGGCTTATATATCTCCCCTCCACTATTTTTTTATAGCCTTCTGTTCTGACCCTGTCACAAATACCAGAGATAAAGGAGGGACAAGGCAGAACTAGGGGGCAAAATCAAATCAGTATCTTAGATGCCTGTATGCCAGTACAAGAAGTATGGGAAATAAGCAGGAAGAACTTGAAGGACTAATAAATAAACACAGCGGTGACATAGATGGTATCATAGGGTATGTCTACACTACAAAGTTAATTCGAACTAACTTTCATGGGCACTACACATACAAACCGCTAGTTCGAACTTAATTCGAACTAGCGGAGCGCTTAATTCGA